GGGTACCATGTAAATCATTGTACTGGGTCAATAGGCCTAAGACCAGACTCTCTAGGCAAACTAGGATGTATATTACCAAAGTAATGTCATTTCTTTTTAGAAAAGAAAGTAAACACATCAACAATTTTTACTCATTCTAAGGAAATAACATATACATAGATATATTTTTTAAAAATTTTAATATTTTCTTATTTTTTAGAGACAGAGACAGAGCATGAGCAGGGGAAGGCCAGAGAGAGAGGGAGATACAAATCTGAAGCAGGCTCCAGGCTCTGAACTGTAAGCACAGAGCCTGACACAGGACTCGAATTGATGGACCATGAGAATCATGACCTGAGCTGAAGTCGGATGCTTGACCGACTGAATCACCCAGGGGTCCCATCTTCATAGATATATTTTTATATTTCAAAGTTATGGATTGTTTCAATTGTAGTTTGCCCAGCAAACATATCTTATAAATAAATAAATACTCAATATGCATTGTAGCAGTAACTTTCTGTACACTACCAGCTTAAAAAAATAAATGTAGGTCTCCTGTTTGTTTTTGTTTGTTTTTTTAAAACTTGTTTTTAGTTTGGATTTAATTTTTTTAATTTATTTTTTTAATTTACATCTAAGTTATTTACCATATAGTGCAACAATGATTTCAGGTGTAGATTCCTTAATGCCCCTTACCTGTTTAGCCCATCTACCCTCTGACAACCCCTCCAGTAACTCTCTGTTTATTCTCCATATTTAAGAGTCTCTTATGTTTTGTCCTCCTCCCTATTTTTATATTATTTTTGCTTCCCTTCCCTTATGTTCATCTGTTTTCTATCTTAAAGTCCTCATATTAGTGGAGTCATATCATACTTGTCTTTCTCTGACTAATTTTACTTAGCGTAATGCACTCCAGTTTCATCCACATAATTGGAAATGGCAAGATTTCATTCTTTTTGATTGCCAAGTAATACTCCATATATATATATATATGCGCCACATCTTGATCCATTCATCCAATGATGGACATTTGGGCTGTTTCATACTTTGGCTAGTTTTGATAATGCTGCTATAAACATTAGGGTGCATGTGTCCCTTTGAAACAGCTTTATCCCTTGAATAAATACCTAGTAGTGCAACTGCTCAGTCATAGGGTAGTTCTATTTTTAATTTTTTGAGGAACCTCCATACTGTTTTCCAGAGTGGCTGCATTCCCACCAGCAGTGCAAAAGAGATCCTCTTTCTCTGCATCCTTGTCAACATCTGTTGTTGCCTGAAGTTGTTAATGTTGGCCATTCTGACAGGTGTGTGGTGGTATCTCATTGTGGTTTTGATTTGTATTTCCCTGATGATGAGTGATGTTGAACATTTCTTCATGTGTCAGTTGACCATCTGGATGTCTTCTTGGAGAAGTGTATGTTCATATCTTTTTCCCATTTCTTCACTGGATTATTTGTTTTTTATGTGTTAAATTTGATAAGTTCTTTATAGATTTTGGATACTATCCCATTATCTGATATGCCGTTTGCAAATATCTTCTCCCATTCTGTGCATTGCCATTTAGCTTTCCTGATTGTTTCCTTTGCTGTGCAGATTTTTATTTTGCTTTGGTTTCTCTTGCCTCTGGAGATGTGTTGAGTAAGAAGTTGCTGCAGCCAAGGTCAAAGAGGTTTATTCCCAGGGCGCCTGGGTGGCTCAGTTGGTTAAGCGTCCGACTTCGCTCAGGTCATGATCTCACGGTTTGTGGGTTGGAGTCCCACATCGGGCTCTGTGCTGACAGCTAGCTCGGAGCCTAGAGCCTGTTTCAGATTCTGTGTCTCCCTCTCTCTCTGACCCTCCCCTGCTCACGCTGTCTCTCTCTCTCAGAAATAAATAAAACATTTATTTTAAAAAAGAGGTTTTTCCCTGCTTTCTCCTCTAGGATTTGGATGGCTTCCTGTCTTACACCTAGGTCTTTCATCCATTTTGTGTTTATTTTTGTGTGTAATGTAAGAAGGTGGTCCAGGTTCATTTTTCAGCATGTTGCTGTCCAGTTTTCCCAGCATCGTTTGGTGAAGAGACTGTCTTTATTCCATTCTATTTCCTGCTTTGTCAAAGATTAGTTGGTCATACATTTGGGGGTTCATTTCTGTTATCTCTATTCTGTTCCATTGATCTGAGTATCTGTTCTTATGCCAGTATCATACTGTCTTCCTGATTACAGCTTTGTAATACAGCTTAAAATCCGGGATTATGATGCCTCCTGCTTTGGTTTTCTTTTTCAAGTTTGCCTTGGCTATTTGGGGTCTTTTCTGATTCCATACAGATTTTAGGATTGTTTGTTCAAGCTCTGTGAAGAATGCTGGTGTTATTTTAATAGGGATTGTATTGAATATGTAGATTGCTTTGAGGAGTATTGACATTTTAACAATATTTGTTCTTCCTATCCAAGAGCATGGGATATTTTTCCATTTTATTCTGTCTTCTTCAATTCTTTTGTAAGCCTTCTATAGTTTTCACTGTATAGATTGCTGTGGCGCTAGTGTGCATGTGTATGCGCAGGAGGGGTGAAAATGGTATCACCCAGCTACCCAGTCTCTATATCAGACTTATCTTCTCCCTGATTAGTAATTGCACACCCATCATTGTCTCCAGCTTCCATCTCCTTCCTGCTTTTATACTGTTCATGACCAAGGCATTAGGTTGCCAGGTTGCATCTCCCTCCTGGGTTTTATCTCAGATGTGGCTGTGTTTCTCAAACCGTCACTTCTGAGATACTGGGGCTTTGATGCACTCAGACCTTCTAGGGGAGGGTCTCACTGAGCATCAGCCAGGTGCTGGCTGCTCCCAGGAACGTCCGCAGGACTGTGCTGCTGCCAATGCCCAGAGACTGTGGCTGGGTATAGCCTGCCCAGAAAAAGTTCACACGATCTTGTAGCAGCAGCATTCAAATTATGGAACATCACAGCACATATCTGGCACCAGTCTTCACCCTTAATGTCCTTGTTCCAGCACCAGCAAATGTGGTTGTTCTCTGGGGTCTGCTGGGTTCTTTGCTTGTGGGGTGGTCGCACCACCTCTACCATATGTCCTCCCAGCAGGGAACCGCCACTCCTCATACAGCCCAAGGACTCTCCCGACCCCACCCTCTCCTCCTGGGGATTTGCCCTGCCCACCAAAGCACCACCAAGTATCAAGCTGCAGAGTTTCAGACTCTGTGCTCTCCCTGTTTATAGAGTCTTAATGGAATTTAACCCCTCTCCTTTCTCCTTTCTCCCTGTTTTGTTCAGTCCCTGTGGCTGTTTCCACTTTTCCACTTTGTCTCCAGCTGCTTTTGAAGGGGTGCTTTTTCCATACTCTTCCCCCACCATCTCTGTCCTCTCTCAGCAAGGAAACATAGCTCCTGGCCCTCCTTGGCTTCTCTCTCCCCCAGTTCACCTCTCTATACCACATACCTGCTGAGTTCAGGTTGTGCAGATTGTTGTGTTAATCCTCAAATCAGTTTTCTAGGTGTGCAGGGTGGTTTGGCATTTATCTGTCTGTATTTCATGGATGTGAGATGCAAAAAAAACAACAACAACAACTTCCATGCTATCCTGCCATCTTGTCCCCTCCCCCAGATTTAATCTTATTAAACTAGTAAACATATGTTTAATCAATTATGCCTTAAACTATCTTTCTCCGTTTTCATTTTAGTATTTATTTCAATGAGTATTATATCTACTTAGCATTCATTTCTATTAGTGCAAGCTAATCATTCAACTATTTCCTCTGACTATATTGGTATCTTCAGTATTTATTAACACAGAAGGTTCGTGATATTCCTGGGGCTTTGATACTGCAAATGAGGTAATTTATTCTTTCCTTTCTTCTTCTCCTCTCCCCCTTCCTTGTATTTTTGTCCTCTTCTTTCTTTTTGCTTTTCCCTATTCTATCTCTCTTCTTTTAGCAAGACGTTATTTATCATGAAGCAAGTTAAATATTTCAGGAATATAATTTTTGCAAGTTATTTTAAATATTTAATATATCAGCAAAAAATGTTTTCCTGAAAATAATTCTAGTATCCTCTATGTCTTGTCTGATGACTTGTCGCTTGACAAATAGTAGAGTTACTTTAGACTTAGAGCTGCACCTTGTCCACAGACTGGCATGAGTCCTCTCTGAACATGCCCACAGTTTTTGATTGACTTCCACTCAACCTACTGATGGACAATCCTCCCATTTATTCCATATTGGCAGATTTCAATATTACTTCATCACCTATTTCCCTTGTTTGAATAAAACCTTATATGGACAAACATTTTTTCTGCTCTATCTGTTAGAATCCTCCTGCTCTTAGGAACAGAATTAGCCTCTAGTCGGATGGAAGATGTTTGGCTAAATTGCTGTTTGAACTAAAAAATTTCCGAGAGAATGACAGACGCCAGATGGTTCAGGGTTAGGCTTAGCTAGAGTCTGTAAGGTACAGATAAGATCCAAATTCTTCACTTTTTAGTGATTTGCTTTCTTTTCAATTTTCCCACATTATTCAAATATTAGTAGGAAAGATGTTCTTAAAAGCATGCAAAATTGAAATGAAAAACAGATGCTTAGCATAAAGGAACACCTTGTTATAAATACTCTGGTGATTATAAGAGTCACATGTTGCTAAAGACATTGAATAAATATCATCCCAGGCTTATAAACAGTGAAAATTATTTTGAATAAAAGAAATAATTGAGGAAATTTTCTCAATTGGTAATTAAACTCAATAGTTGCTAAAATTGAATTGGTGGCACTGTTCTCTGATCTGTCTCAGTGGCCTACTATGTTAGAAATTTACTAAATGCTTCTTAAATCTTATTTTTGCCATTGCAGTTAGTTTTGCAGTAATATACATTGAATTATCTCAGGAAATTAGGCAAACAATGTTTCTAAAATATGCTTATTAATCTCGTTATAAATAAAAATACCGGAAATTAGTTCAATGTAGTAATTACATTGAAAATTCAAAGAATACATTTGAAACAGTACTGTTCATACTCCTTAAAATTTTATTTCAGCTGTGAGTGTACACCTGGATGGACTGGACAAAATTGTAGTGAAGAAATAAATGAATGTGACTCTGACCCATGCATGAATGGAGCTCTATGTCATGAGTCTTCCATTCCTGGGCACTTTGTATGTCTGTGCCCACCCTTTTATACCGGAAAGTTTTGCCATCAACACTATAACCCCTGTGATCCACTCAGTGACCCTTGCAGAAACAACTCAACGTGCTTGACTTTGGCAGATGGAAATCATTATTGTGTGTGTAGAGAAGGTAAGAGCCTATATTTGTTTTAATGTTATATTTCACTTTTTTTCTTTGGTTGGTTTATTTTGTTTTTGTGGTATTATGACTCCCTAAAAATGGCTGAGAGAAAACTTACATATATACATTGCATATGGGGGGGAGTATTTGACTCCAAATATAGGCATATAAACAGACTGGAGAAATAATCTAAAAAGTTAACCTAAAGAGTATGATGTTGGGGGACCAGGGGGAGAAGGAGAGGGAAAGACAAAGCTTCATAGCAAATGGCTCATTTTTTTTTTTTTTTTAGTGATCTTCTCTCATCATTCAGAGCTTCTTTTTCCTGAATAATCTTGTCCATATAGTGTTCCTTACAATAGCAGTTACTTAGAAATGAGCATAGATAGAGCGTAGGGAAATCAAATGCTTCACTGTAACTTTTCTCCTGGAATGACCTGTGAATACCACTTATTTCGTCCGTGGTTGCTAAGCCACTGTCATCTGACTCTTGTGGCTACTTTGTACCATAAAATAGAACCTATGAAAGGGATAGAGAACAGGCACATCAAAGGACATGATTGGAGCTCCAAATGCAACTATTCCTGAAGTGAGTTACTTCTGGCTTTCTGGGTCATATTAGCCAACAATAACTTATACTGTTATTAAAGGTGCTTGATTGAGATCTGTTCAGATGTAACTGAAAGAAGTCTGATTAGTGCACAGTTGATCTGTATAAATGTTTACTGCCCGTGTACTGCTGACTATTCAAGAGCCATTACCATCTTCAGCAGGAATGCTTCTATCATAAAACCAGCACATTTTCATTATAACTGGAATGTGGTTGTCATAAGCACAATATAAAAACCACATTGTGTATAAAAGCCTCCAACTGCTATTTATTTTCTAATATCGACTTATGGGTTCTTGTCTCTTTGCTTGTTACTAATTCTGCTAGAATAGATGTTTATTAAAAATAAGGACAGTGCTTATTTATTCTTCTGTTCTAAAAGATCAGCTGATACTGTACCAGTTAATTTGTGTCTTAGTCAAAACTGTTTCTCTTTGTTTTCATAAACTCTAGAAATTCCTGATGTATGAGATAATCTATTATAGGGATATAGAGGCAAGTCCTTGAATGCACATACATGACAGAAATGTCTGGACCTTAGGAGGGATTGGAACTACAAAGTGGAGAGCCATTAGTAATTGTTTTTTCAAAAATGACATGGGCTGTATAAAGCAAATAATAGGGGCATATAAGGCATGTGGATATATGTTTGCAGGAATGAGTTAGGAAAGTAAGATAGGAAAAAATATGAAGGGAACATTTAAACCCTGCAAATCCTAGTAATAATAAAGTAAATAATTTAAATGAAGAATTTTCCTTTTAATAAATATGAAGAGTGAAACTTTTTGAAATATTATTCAGTAGCAGGGAAGGGGCTAATTTATTTAGCAGGATTATTCCATGATGCTTTGCCTAGCCTACTAATATATTCTCAGAATATAAATAATGGATAATATTTGTTGAGAGACAGCAGCATATTTCCTCTGTTAAAATAAAACCTTCCCGATTTTTACCAAAGATAATTTTCTACAAGACAGACATGTTTTAGGGACATGTTTTTATCTATATAAATTTTTTTATATTCTATTTGTTATTCATAAATGCACTTAATGAATTTATATTATCTAGTGAGATTCCTTTCCTGTTGAAGGATGAAGGAAACATAAGTTCAGAGATACCATATACTTATCATCAACTATCTTACTAGTAATAATATTTTCCAGCCTCATGAACATCACAAAAAATATCTTGAGAACAATTTAGATTTCATCATTTTATATTAGTAAAATCTTTTTTGTTTATTTTTTTCTTGAAAATTCATCATTCTATTTAAGGTGAAAGAGAGATATGAGCACTCAAATCAATGTTTTTGACAGAGTAGTGGGCAGGCACAATGAATCATGTGTTTTCCCCTTTCTAACTGTGATTCAGCACAACGAGATATTTGAAGTGTACATCGTTTCTAAACTATTTTGCTTCACACACACACACACACACACACACACACACACTCACACATTTGAAGTTGAAAAATTTTTTGAAACCTAAGAAAATGTAGGAGTAAGTTTCTGTAAATGAGTCTAACTACTGTAAACAATATTTTCTCACTATTGCCTTTAGTACTTCAACCTTTTAAAGCAAAACCATTGCTTTAAAACACTGCTTCAGAATATACCAAAAGAGGATAACTATGGAATGTCTTAGACACTATGCCCTGAGTTACTTTAATACTTATTGTTTGAAATACGATCTATGTCAAAGCCATCATATTTTCTTAATGAAAATGTTCTGATCAAATTCCATTTTAATAGTACTGAAATTTAAGGGTCACCTGGGTACCTCAGTCTGTTAAGCATTTGACTCTTGATTTCAACTCAGGTCATGAAGCATGGTTCTTGAAAGATAGAGCCCCACATTGGGCCCCACACTGATAGAACAGGATTAGGATACTCAAAATTCTCTCTCCTTCTTTCTCTGTACCTCCCCTGCTCAAACACACACACACACTCTCTCTTTCTCTTAAAATAAATAAATTTAGAAAAAATAGAAGTGCTGAAATTTAAAACCACAAAGAATTCCAAGACTTAATCTCTTATACAGTTACAAGATTTAGAAGTTCCACTGGAATTCTTTGCAAGCTGTTAGTGTTTGCTAAGTGACTAGAGTATAGGGCATCACGAAGAAAGAGATTTAAGGCTTAAGGTAGGAGTTCAGCATATGCATTTTGAAATTCTGTCCATGGTTTTTAGTCAGTCTATAGGGTCTACCACAATTTATGAATATAAATAAAACCTGAAAGACAGAGTAGTAATGTAACTATGTATTAGACAACTAAATTATAAATTACATTAAAATTCATTTTGAAGAAACAGCAATTAGAATAACAGATACTATGATTTCTGCCAAATAGAATGCTTACCAAGTAAACTATTTTGGTTGGTGTGATTGAAAGTTATAGTCAAAACAATCTAATTCATTTGGGTACAATGTGAACTACTTAAAAATTATAGATGTAGTAAAACACCAGAACTATGGTGATCATGTTTCACAAGACAAAGTAAAGGCACTGCTTCTGTCTTCTGTCTTCTGTTTGGAACTGAGGTAAGTTACTTTTGTCCCTATGAACATTGCACATTTTCTAGTGGAAAACAGGTAGATAGAAAAGTATTTATCATTAATAATTCAATACAGGTTTGTTTTGTATATAATACCATTTGTTTAAACAATTTCTGTTGTAAAAAATTAGTGCTTTAATAAATATAAAAATAGCACAAAAAAGACAAATAATGATTTTGCAAGTTTCCTAGAAACAAATGGGGTTTACTCTAGGTACCTTATGTAGTGTTAGGTTTTGGTGATTTACAATGCACTCAATTTGCATCCTTCAATATTTATGTTATATTATACATTTTTTGTCTCTCTGAACTATGCTTTGTTCAGTCTTGCAAACAGATGTTGGTACTGTTCTAGAAATCTAAAAATTATTTTCTTTATTAACTGATTCAACAAACACATATTGACTTCCTACCATGTGTCAAGTCTTGAGACAGGTTCTAGGAAAATTAAACAAGGCAAAGACATGCCCTCAAGGAACTTAAAGTTCAAGGAAAGACACATAAATTAACCAACCAGTAAAGTACCACATTCTTACTTTGTAGATGCAGAGTTTCTCATGGAGTGTGACAGCTCTGAGTTATGTTCCACATGATTTCTAAGAAGATCCCCAGCAGCCTTGGAGCTTTCATTGCACATCGCAGTAGCCTACTCTTTAAGCCCCTCTCTTTTATTTCCCCATTCCCTTGCAGAAAATCCTGGGGTCACCTCTCAAATAAGCTATCTTAGTGCGTATTATAATCTCATATTCTTATTTTGGAAGAAATGAAGCTAAGAGAGATAGAAAACTCCATCTCTCTGGCAATATGATTGATCTACATCAGCATGGGACTGGAATATTGGCACTGAGAGCCTTTCCTTGAGATTGGACCTAAAGAAATAGCTTTTTCTTTTTGCCAGAGTTTTTCAGTTGGTGTAGCCAGCACCATGTTCTATTCACGCAGAGATCTGAATCCAGTAGGAGAGAAGTGTTTGTGAAAGAACAACTTGTCCTGATAGTTCCTATGGTTCTTTCTTAAATTCCGTAGACTATTGTGCATCCTTTCCAGCTAGGTTACCCAATAAATGCTATTTCTTCTAAGTTAGTATTTTTGTTTTTATCACATGTGATCAAAAGAGTGATGTCTAATATGTACAGTAAAGGGAAAGAGTTAATAAAGTTCAAGAGGTTGAATTAATGCAGTTCAACTTCAGACTGGTAGAAATGGAATGTAAGAATGGCATGAAGGTTACAGTACAGAGTTAGAGATGACTTTAGATAAAATGCATGTGGATAAAATGCATACAGTATGCAGAGGAGTCTCTGTTATTAGTATGTGTTTGTATATATAATGTGATCTAAGATCATTTCCGCTTAAAGTATATTTCATTGCTAATACTCTCTTATAAAACATCTTTATCATTCTACTTTGAATTATATCTTGGTTTATAGGTAAGAACATCACCCTATCCAATACTTTTAATTTAAAGGGCTTAGTTTCAAATGTATGCACTTCATCCATATGCCTCCAAGGTGAAAGGAAGAATAGTTTTTTTTAAATGACACTTTACAAAGGATTAAAATGTGGCAAAGAGCACTTGTAAAATGTCATAGTGGAAGGAAGAATCATATAATTTACACGTGGTATTCAATTATAATTGGGATTCTAAGTGTGATGGATTTGTAGTACCAGAGGAAGGAAGCAGTTGCACTTAAATGTGTCTGATACTCCAGTACATATACTATTATGATGGCAATACCACGTTAATTGAGGTGTATAATTCCAAGCACCAAATAAATGTCACTTGACAATATAGTGTGTTTAAATTAAAAATTACTCTTTCCGACAATTAAAAATATGTGCTTATGTGGTAGCATGTATCTATTAGGTTTAAATAGCTGTAGATACTTATATTGGGGAAATTCTTCAGAGAAAATATGTACTGTTGCTAATTAACTTTCTAACATGTCAATAATTTATTGTATTTTAAAATACTAGCTTTTAGGGGTGCCTGGACGGCTCAGTTGGTTGAGCATCTGACTTCGACTCAGGTCATGATCTCATGGTTCATGAGTTCAAGCCCTGCGTTGGGCTCTGTGCTCACAGCTCAGAGCCTGGAGCCTGCTTCAGATTCTGTGTCTCCTTTTCTCACTCTCTGCCCCTCCCCTGCTCATGCTATGTCTCTCTCTGTCTCTCAAAAATGACTATAAATATTAAATTTTTTAAATATTATTTTTATACTCATTTTTTTAAAGTTTTCTTAAAATGAATGTTAAAAACCAGTTTAGGCCTACTACAAATTAGTTCTGTCTTTCCTATTTCATAGTGTTAAATGCAACTATTTGGTAACAATTGGTTAATTTTTCGAGACAATGCTAATATGTGTATCATATTGTTTTAAAATAAAAAAATATTTTTAAAAAATTCTAACTTGCCAAGAGAGAAATATCTTTTCAGTTGTTGTTTTCATAAAGTTTTAAAATCTAGATAAATTAAAATTTGTAATTAGGAAAAAATAGGAGCACCTGTGTGGCTCTGGTGGTTGAGTGTGAGACTCTTGATTTTGAATCAGGTCATGATCCCAGGATTGTGGGTCAAGCACCACATAGGGCTCTGCTCTGAACATGGAACCTGTTTAAGATTCTCTCTCTCTTTCTCTTTCTGTCTCTGTCTCTCTCACTCTCTGTCTCCCTCTGCTGCCTCTCTCCACCAATGTATTCCCCTTCCTCTCAAAAAAAGGAAGAAAAAAGAAAATAACACCTTTCTAATGCTTTTGAAAATGATTAATTTTTAATACTTTTAGTTTTTATTTTAAATGTATGATTTTAATGCTAACTTATTGAATACAAAAAAGAAATACTATAGTTTTCTCTGTTTACTTTATTCCTAATTATTCCAACTGCTATTACTTCTAATGTGAGAGTTGTCAAGGAATTGCCCTGGATGACAAAATGTTTATTAGTAAAATTTCATGAAAAAATAACTATAGTTAATGTACTTTATTCTATGATATGCCCTCCAAAGAATCAAATAAAAATGATTTTTTTTAGAAATGAGAAAATGTTAAGTGATTTTTTAAAATATGCCTATAATTGACACTGACTTGGCTCCTAAACATGAACTGTAAGTTTAGTAACTTACGATATGCTTTAGGGGATGAGAAAATGTAAAAATATTTATTAATTAGTCACATGCATTCTCTATGATAATGTATATGCAAAACATTATAAGAAAACAATCAATTTGTGTGTAAAAAACTTTATCACAGTTAATAGAGTCAGCTGAATAGTTCTGGATAGGAATAAATAACTGGAGGGTAGCATTGAATGAATTCACTGTACTAAAGTTTGACAGACTTTTAGTTGTCACTGCATATATATAAAGCAAATACCCTTCACACTTATGAATATCTGCTTCTTCCACCAAGGACTATGAAAAGTATAGTTGGGACTAAGTATATATACACTTTTCTCCTTTAAATCCTCCAAACACAAGCTTTCTCAGCAAAGTTTTAGTTTATTTTAAATGCACTCCATGTCTACTTTATTTTTTTTCCCAATGTTTATGGGAAAAAAAATTGTATTTTAGCAATCTAATTTCCTCGGCCCATTGACATATGTTGCTGGTTGGTAACAAAGCTGCATCTCAGAAATGTCAAACTAAATGAATAAGGCAAAATCACAGAAAACAAGGTTATTCTGTGAGCTGCCTGAGTTTCCAGGTTCTGAATGTTCTTCTGATTTATCAGCCCAGCTGAACTCAGGGAGGCACACTGGCACTACTTCTCTAGCTAGCCAATGCTTCTGAGTTCCAGTGCCTCATAGAACATTTCTAAGAAACATCTCAGTGTCAAAATACTCTGCCTCCCATAGAAAGCTAATCATGCTCAAAGTAGGAATAGTGTAATGCATCCAATTTTCTAAATCTTTGTCTTGTAAAAAAAAATTTTTAACCTTATTATGTCATTTATAACTGTACTATAACAGGTGCAGTGTAAGTAGGATAGCAATATTGGATTGATGAATGGTGAAATGTGTTGGAATAACATTTCTTACCTAAAATTGGAATAACCATATTAACTTGGAAATAACTCTTTTTATCTGTATTTTTAATACTACAGTACAACACTTAGTACATGAATGAAATTGCAAGCATGCAACTTCAGAACTTAACTTGCAGGCTTTGATAATTGAGTAAGAAAAAAATAGAACAAACTAATAATGATGCTTGTCTTAAAGATACCTAATCTGCTAGATACATAGGCACTATAGATTTCTTCTGATAAGTGTTTCATGGTGCATCTTATTCTGTCTTTCTATTTCTAACGAATCATCAAAGTGAATTTTTTCTAGAATTCATGTAGTTGGTTCTGTTGTTTTATTTAACCTGGCTGTCACTGCCTTTTATTGAAATATTTTTTAAAACCATATCTGATATAATTATTAAAGTATAATGGCTTTAAATGAATCATCTTGCTATTTGTTTTCTACTTTCTATAGTACTATATCTCTACTTTGTTTCTTTTTACTCTTTCCTTCTTTTGGATTAAGTAATGTTTAGGTTTCCATATCTCCCACTAAAAAGGCAGCCAGATTTAATAAGAGGTAATACCAATTTGCCATACTCCAAATAGAAACAAGTTTGCCACTTGATTTGGTGATAGACACCACAGAGAATGGCAATGGCTCATAGTACGATGTGAAAGGATAAAGTACAACAATCCCACGTTCTCTCCTGGGACTCTAAATTAGGAAATGTAGAGGATTTTCCACTCAGCGATAGATGCTGAAGCTAAAAGATCATGATAATAGAAATAGAGACCAAGTAAGCTGTGCTGTATCATCTCCATGCTGATATTATAAATGATTTGAAACTTTCAATGTGAAGAAATATTTGAAGATAGAGTAGGAGAAACTTTATGAGATGATACTGTGGTAGGAAGATGGCCATTAATGGGTCCCTAGATCACTCTCTTTCAGATCTCAGCCTATATGCTAATAAAAAATACAGGTTTTATAGAACAACTTGAATGAACTTCTGTTCAGCAAACTAAAATATCTGAGTAGATACTGTAATTTGTAATGTCACTGCAATTATTTGGCACTTAGTTATAGCACTGTAAAAGTAACAGAAAGGAAAATTGTTTTGTTTCATACATTTTCTAACTACTATTAAAAATATTAGCAAGAAAAATGAGTGTAAGACTATATTTCATTTTACCTAGTTAATATAGAAACATGGAAATACTTGTTTAAATTGTCATCATAAATATTAAAATATTAAATGTATTTTAAGCAGTGACATGCTGATTTTTTGACACGTGTTGAAATAATTACAAGTGCCTCTCATAACTGTATTTTTTTATGTTCTTTGTTTTTTAAAAACATAACTGGCATGTGTTTAAATGGATGACTGATTGTGTAGCTATGAATCAAAATAATTTGTTTTCTTTGAATCACTTGGATATGGAAAGTAATTAAATAATTTGCCTCATCTGCTAACTGCCTTGAATAAATTTGATTGCTGAAGCTCAATTTTACTTTTAGATTGGCCATCACATTAATTCATTTGCTTTCCAGATTGTTTCAGTTCTTCTTGTTCAAACATTTAAGTACCTTAAAACAACAGCAACATTAGCAACAATCCCACATTCCCAAAGGATTGAGTAAAATATTCCTCCCCTGATTCTTTCATTTGAACTCATTAATTAGAAACTAGCATAGTTTTATTCATATATTATATGAAATAGAGTTATATGAGATCCATGGTTGAGGTGTTTTCTCTTTATTTATTTTTTCCCCTAAACTTCCATCAAGAGCATATTCTCCAGACCCTTTACCACTGACTGATCTTGACACTCTACAGTGAGGATTGCTCATCTATATCCATCTCATCTCTCTTTACAGGATTTGAGGGAGAACATTGTGAAATTAATGTGAATGAGTGTTTCCCCCTTCCCTGCCAGAATTATGGTGACTGCAAAGATGGGGTCAACAATTTCAGGTACAGAAAACCAAAAAATATCTAGATACAAGTTTATGCATCTAGCTGTATCTAAATATATCCATTTTTATAATTTCAGTTGACAAATTGAACGTTTCTTGTTATTAACAGTTTGCCATGCTGCAATTATTTGAAGCTTTGAATTTATATGTTTATATTAATGGAGTTATTAAATGTCTTGTTTAAAAGATGTGCTTGTGGACCTGGGTTTTCTGGAACTCTATGCGATCTTGAAATGAATGAGTGTTCTTCTAGACCTTGCAAGAATAATGGAACCTGTGTGGATCTGTCAAACAGGTTAGGGACTACATTTACTGAATCAATTATTTTATATATTTATATAGATATGATATTTAAATAACAAAGTGAACATACATGTACCCATCATTCAACTTAAACAGAATATTTCCATTATCCTTGTGCTTAAACCCAAGTACACCTCTACACTTCCATGCAATTGTATTGAATATTTTGATTTTTTATTATTGTTGACCAAGATTTTATTTTCTGTTTGTTTTTTAAGTTTTATTTAAATTTCAGGTAGTTAACATCAGGGTAATTAGTTTCAGTGTACAATATAGTGATTCAACACTTAACATACATCACCCGGTGCTTATCACAACAAGTTCTCTCCTTAATTCCCATCACCTACTTAACCCATCACCTGGCCTTAAATATATAGTATCAATTGGGGATGACTGGGTGGCCTGGTCAGTGAAGAGTCCTACTTTGGCCTAGGTCATGATCTCCTAGTTCATGGGTTTGAGCCCCACATTGGGCCTTGTATTGACAACAGGGAGCCTGGAGCCTGCTTTGGATTCTGCATCTTCTTCTCTTTCTGCTGCTACCCACCCATGCTGTGTCCCTTTCTTTCTCAAAAATGAGTAAACATTAAAAAATTATATAGCATTAACTATTGTGTTCCTGCCTCAATAAAACACTTAACTTGCATACTAATATCTCTGAACTAATATTGTGTATAATCTTCAGAAACAATTCATTTTGTTAAACATGACATTTCTGCATTATGCATGTATCTGTTGCTCAGTTGTTTTTTTTTACAAATAGTTTATTGTCAAATTAGTTTCCACATAACACCCAGTGCTCATCACCACGAGTACCCTCCTCCATGCCCATCCCCCCTCCCCCCTACATCCATCAGTTCTCAGTTTTTGTCAGCATTCAAGAGTCTCTCATGGTTTGCCTCTCTCCCTTTCCCCCACCATTTGCCCCTTCTTCTCCCCCTTGTTCCTCAGTTAAGTTCCTCCTCATCCTCATATACGTGCAAACATATGATATTTCTCCTTCTCTGCCTGACTTATTTCACTCAGCATAACACCCTCTAGGTCCATCCATGTTGCTACACATGGCCAGATTTCATTGTTTCTCATTGCCATGTAGTATTCCATGGTATAGATAAAC